CACTAGTGAGGAAAGAGGTGAATAGTAGTAGACCACAGAATTATGAATCTGTATTATATCATATATCAGGAGACTAAATTTAATTTTTGTAATTAAGTATATGAACAAGCCTCTTCACAGTTCAGATTTGAAGTTCAGTAGTGTGGTGCTATATGTATCCATCAAAAAACTCAAGGTCAAGAAGGCCCAKATCTACCAATCAATTCCTTTTTCGTTGGGAATGCTTGTGAGAAAGCTCTTATTTTCAGGTGTCTGACATTGGAGACTGGAGCTGGAGTGGGTGGAGGGAGGGACGGAGGTGATTACAAAAAGCATCTGACCAGGCAACAATGCTGTTTCATCCCCGAGCATGATGCTGTTTGGCTGCCAGAGTCCTGAATGGCTGCTGTCTGAGCAGTGTCTGAGTGGAGATCAATGCAGGGGTATTCCCTTTCTGTACCTTTTTATTAAGCACAATTCTATGGACAGAAGTAATTTCAGCAAATTTAGGTGGATTTGGGAACTTTCCCCTTCTCTGCCCTTTGGCTTAAGACTGTAGTTATCTGAAAACTGAAAATACCATTGCAAAAAACCAAAATCACAGCCCTCGGTAACAGGTCASCAGCCTGTCCATAAGGAAGTGGCTGTGTGAGAGGGACATGTCTGTCACCTGGGCAGCCAGCAGGGAAGTCTCATTGACTGCTTGGTTAATGGCAGCATCCTGAGCTGTCAGGCTCATTAGGGACACGCTGCTAATTTGGTCAGGCAAGGGCTGCCAGGCTGCATTGTGTGGGGTTAAGCAGCGTGAATGGAGCCCGTAAGCAAAGCTGCTGGAATCTGCTTTTGTGTTCCCTTTGGACGCCTGTCCTCCACTTTTGGCTTCTTTTCCGGTTCAAAGTGGCCACGTGGAGTTTTGGCACGTTAAGTGCTGTCCGTAGATTAGTTATAGATTGCAGAAGTGATCTAACTTTTGCTGAGAGGAGTTACCCAGCTTCTCTTCTCGGCTATTTTTGCATACATACACTTAGAGTGTCAATTCACTCCTTCGTGTGACTTAATTAGAAATGGATTAAGCCTTTTCTCTTTAAAACCCAATTTGAACTGCTATAGGTATTTTCCTTATCATCCCTGCTCACATGTGCTAGGGCACTSGCTGTGTAGCAATTAAAGTTTGCATTTCTTTTCTGCTGTCAAAAGATAACTTTCCTCACCTTCCTGTCAGTCCCAGAGTCCTGCAGGTGGATTTGAAGGTCTTGACAGTTGTGTCTTCCAAATGCTCTCCAGTCCCTGGAAGAGCTGGGAGGTTACAGACTGACCCTTTGGACAGGAGAGTGGTGGTGAGGAAAACCTGCCCTGTGCAGCCTGGCTGGGTGTGTGTGCTGGCTCTGTGTGTGCCCGGCTGGAGCCTTTCCTCATGGGATTATTGAAAAAGGTTGAGCAAGGRGAAGAGATTGTTTTCATCTCATAAAGGGAACAACCAGATTGTCTCACTGCTGTCTCTCCCCAGCGTGCGTCAGAATATACTGTTAATTTAGGAGTTGGAACCCAGTGGAGGATTTTCTGATTCTCTACCATGTGTTTGCTTTTGTGACTCCAATTTCTCTCTCGTCCTTTGGGGATGTTTTTTCCCTGACATCTTCAGCCTTACTAGAACTTACTTTTGTTTCTGCCAGAGAAACCGCTGAAATGGGTAATTTTTGGTCACCATTTTCTACATCTTCATCTGATTGATCTGATTATGTTAAGGCTGAGTCAAATACTCCATTAAGAGTTTCAAATGCTATCAGAACTGAAGCAGAAACAGGTTTCCCAGGAGACTGACTGTGTGTGCCTGTGTGGAACAGACTTGGCAGGGAATTGGCCTGCACAATTCCCTGGCAGAGAGCAGCACAGCTCCAGCAYTGCTGTCACCAAATACCTGGCGTGATCCTGAGCTGTGAATAGACGCCTGCTGGGTCAGGCTTTTTTATCACACTGGGGGCTGCCCTGCCCTCCAGAAACAAGGGGAATTCGTGCCTCTGCCCGTTCTTATGCAGGGATATTGATTTAATGCAGTGCCCCATTTTGGGAAGCAGTGTTTTTCCAAGGGTGGAAAAATGCTTGCTCTGTGGGAGGGAATATTTCTTGCAAACAGGCCCTGAATTTCCTCATTTTACTTTACTAGGGATTTCTATTCGAAAATAAGGCTGGAGGGGGGGAGTTTGGAATGATTCTGGGAAGCTTTGGCTCAGAAAAGGGCAAATGATTCATMTTATTACTGTTATTTATTAAGGAGAACAGACCATGAACCTGATCTTTTACTTATCTTTGGAAACTTAAAGCACTTATGCAGTGACCCCAAAAGAGTTTGCGGGTTTGAACCAAGGTTTTTCAACATAAAAGCTAAATCCCAGCTGTGGGAGCTGGCCTACAACATTTTAAGAAGATTTATTGCTCTTACCTTCATACTTCATAAATATTTTAATATCCTCAGTGTATGCCTTCTCTGTGAAGCAGGGTGGTAAATAAGTTGTTGATGGGAAATGGGGACAGCAGAGGCACTTTACAAAACTGAGATCTGACGAGTCTTGAGACTTGGCACTCTCTGTGCTGTGACAATGGCCAGTTTATCTCTGGTTATTGCTGGAGTYTCGATGTAAGAGGTCATTCATTTGAGAGTCAGTCTAGTTTTCATTACTGAGAAGAGCAATTTGTTTAGCAGCAACCCTTTTTATCTTTTTAATTTGGGATTAAATATTTACTTCTCAAAAAATAACTTGGCTGTCAATAATCAAAACCTAAGGTGGTTAAAGGTATACATTAGAAAGAAGGTTTTAAGCTCCAGTTTAAGATAATACTGAGAACTGAGGTGATTTACATTTGTTGGTATTACTATGAAAAAGCCATAAGTGCAGCCTAAATGATGTTTTAATTAGAATTGGGCAAGAGAATTTAAATAAAGGAAAAATCAAAATTGACACAGTCTATTTCACACCTGTAATTTCATTCTTGTACTCCACAAGGTAGTATAACTTAATCTTCTAGCTATTTCCTTAGGTCAGTTCTTTAAAGAATAAATCAGAGAAGATTCTGTACATTTTATGAAAATGGAAAGGCACTTGGCTTTGTGGCCACACAGTTTYATCTTCTCCATTTGTAGTATCATACTGTACACCCTTAATACTTTTGGGTGTGCTGTCAGTGTCTGAGAGTCAGAGAAGAGAAAGTTTGTAGGTTTAAACTTTCAGAGTTAGAGACTGGAACAAATATCTCCATTATCCTCCTGAAAAATCCTGTTAGCAAAGCAGTCCCATCATATCTAAGCTACTGGCTTGAATATTGCACGTATTGTCTGTTAAAATATAGCAGCCTAATCTCAGCAGAGATTGAGAAGGCATGCAAAGACTCTGCTAGCAAGAAGAAATATATAGAAAGGACAAATTGTCACAGCAAGTATAGAAACTTGAATTTAGATCTCTATTTTACTGCACTGGGTAAGGCAGAAGTCCTCAACTTCCGCAACTGTGAATCAAGCACATCTGACCACCTCAACAGTTATCCCAGAAAGATTTCCTTACAGGCTCAAGAAAACTGATTTATGTCAGTAGTTGGAATAAACACTGCAAAGTTAAGTCTCCAAGGCTTTGGATAATCAACAGAAATCTTAATTAGGTTAAACCGCAGATAAGAATTTATCAGTAATTACAGACATTTAGTTGATATGTAAGCAGTCCTCTGAGGTCACAAAAAAACATTTCTTAGTTTATAGCTATTAGTGAAGTTGAAAGTTTTCTTTTCTTGAAGGTCCAGAGTAATGTCATCCACATGGCAGTGGAATAGATGTGATAAAGCATCAAAAATCCATCTGCATTTTCTTCATTAAGGCCGCAAAACAAAAACTCAGAACTCTCCYGTAGTCAGTTTATGCCTGAAATGATCTTGTCCTGTGTCCTGTCAGAAAATCTGGGTAACTGCTGTGGTAGAAGTAAGATCCTCTGTCAGGATTGTAAATACCTTCCAAAATTGAACTCAAAAAGTGAGCCATGCACTCAATCATGGAGTCTATGGGTGAAATTACAGGGAGAGGCTGTATAAGAACAAACATATGTTAAACATATTGTATAGGTTTCTTCRGGCTGGACTTGGACTTTGTAGCTCACATAAATGCCAGAATTAAACACGATACACAGTTTGTGGCTTTTGTGTCGTATTTGTTAATGCAATGCCTGATGTACAGATCGTATACTGCGGCAAAACATGGGGATCTATAGTTATCCTACCAAGTGGCTTGTCTCCTGTCCTTGATTTGACCCCTGGTGCTCTCCTTGGCTATCCTCATCTGCCTCTCCAAATTTGCAATCTCTGCATAAAGAAAATGAGCATCAAGATCATTCCCAGCAAGAAGTATCCTCATAATGAGAACAAAAGCTCCATTTCATGGAAACATTTTGTGAGTCAACATGCTAAAATCCGCAGTCCAGGCAGTGCATCCCAGAGATCATTATTAAGTAGTGTGGTTAAAAACTGTTTTCCTGGGAGTGATTTTGCTGCTTGGAGAAATCTCTCACAGGTGCAGTCTATTAGGAAGTCCAGACTGCTTCCTATAAACAAGCAAGCAAGAATAATCTAAAATGTAGCAATGATGTGTTGCCTTGCCAGCAGGGAAAGTTCAAGAGAAGACCTGGACTTCAGTGGAAGTAAAATCTAGGGGGAAAAAATCCATGGTCTATAATGGGATTTTTGGAAGGAACAATTTACTCTGCAAAATTGTCTAGTCAACAGAACCAGTAGTATAAGGAACAAGCAGAAATGCGCCAGGAAAAGCTCAGGCAACCCAGCCTGCTTATGGAATTGAATGGAATTGAATGCTGCCCTCTCTTTATATAGTACAGGTGGGCCTGAGAAGATATATCAATCATCTGCTATGCAACGTGATTTGCTTTGCCACAGCCAATTTCATCTGCAGCAGCCAACACTGATTGTTCGACCTGGGTAATTCCAGTATTTGCAGCTGCCTTTTTTTTTTTTTTTTTCCTTCTTTTTTTTTAATTGAAGATCAAAACAATCCAAATTACGGGGACCTTCCTCACCTGAGAAGTACAGAGTTTGGTAAGTAGATCTTTCTGAAAATTCTCTTAGTAACACCCCCAGCTTCAGCCTGGCGACGCAGCACTGATATGTTCCTCTTTTCTCCTAGGAATGAGAATTCAAGTATGAGCAAGAAGGTAAGCTGTGTAGTGAGTTATTACAAATTTCACATCCATTCCAAAAAGATTCTTCCTAGAAATCCTTTGAATATGAAATTCAAATACTGTTTGAAGTCAGTTGTCTTGGAAAATTTTCWGGTCCTTTTTTTTCCCCCAGTTCATGTAGAACGTGATAATTTATTCTTTTGTTTCCTTGGCTGAAGGGAATTCATTGTGTATTTTTGCTTTACCCCACTAGTTTGAGTGATTCATCTTGCCTTCCAAAATGATTACATGTCCATCAATCCAACCACAAACACTTTTTGAAAACTCCTTGCTGCTGTTATATGTACTGAATAACTCCCAGCCAGACTATCTCAAATATATGTTTCTGTGACACAATAAAATGATTGCAGGGATTATAGCTCTCTGTAGCTGCAACTGAGAGCTATTTCAGCATTGAGCAAATAAACCAAACAACCTTCCCATTCCCTACCCCACTCACTAAAACCATTGCRAAGTGTGAATAACCTGTATTTATTTGATCTTTTTCTGCAGCATCCAGAGGAGCCTGTGGAAGTAGCTACCTGGAGCAGCTCTCTCTGTTTTCCACCTGCAGCCTCATGTGCCTTGTCTCCRAATAGCTGGGCTTTCTCCTGGCACTGAGTACTCTGCATGTTGTTAAACATTTTCCCATCTGGTTTTGGCTCCACAATGGATTTCTCCCCACCCCTGAAAGTGATGAATAGTATTGAAGAAAAATGACCCAGCTGAAGCAGAGTACARTATGAAGAGTCTTCCACATGTTAGTGCTAAATCCCAGAAGCCTCCCTTCAGGATTAGTGGTTCCTCAGATACTTCAACAGCCTTCAACAGGGCTGGCAATTCTCTTGCAGGCAGAACAACTCTCAGGTTACCTTCTTGGCTCTGGTTTTGCCTCAGGTTGTTTCCACTTCTCTTTCCTCAGAGCTTTCTTTCCTCCTCAGCTCCTCTTCTTCCTCTTTTGCTCATGGGTGTAGCTCTTCAAGAGCAAATTCACATAACTTACGTCATGGTTGCTCTGGCTCCACCTTCTGCTCTTTGTATTTGAGTATTACATTTCACTTGTTATGGTTTATTTTTAATCAAACCATATCACATTACTCTTTGGGGCCACAGAAGCGTGTTTGACATGTTTAAGTTGCCACTGTGAGGTTCTTCTCCAAACAGAATTCAAACCATTATGYTGCAATCTGTACCAGAGCCTTTCTAGCAGCTGTGTTTATACAGCTTTTAGTAAAATGGGTCCCTGATTAGGATTTTTGAATAGCTCATTCACTGAAAAAATGGTGTTTTGAACCAGCTAAAGCTATTTAAAAAAATTGGGATAATATATGATTAAAAGTTTTGGTTGGAAGAAATCAGTGGCAACACCCTGCCAGATTTTAGGCCCCAAACATCACTGCCAGTAGTATCATAAATATTAAGTTACTGGATTTTAACTGGGCAAGAAGTGGTTTCCTTTTGCTTGTTAAAAAAATTAGCTGCAAAATTCATTTGTCACAGATTAAAAATCTGAGTAGTCACCCAAACTGTTAAGTTTGGTAAATTAGGTGAAGCTGAAGACTGGTCTTTATTTTGGAATTGTCAAGCAACAGTGATTTGAGTGCAACTTGATCTAGAACAGAGACCGAACATTAGGCAGTTCTGGGGTTGCTCTGCAGCTATCAAGAGAAGCTGCTTGAAAAACCAAACTCCATCCTCAACTGAGTGACAGTGACACACACCATGGGCTCTGGGTGTTGGGCAGGTGGGTTTTCAGGAGCCTTTCTGTTCCTGCCATGCCAGACAACCTCCTCAGGAGGCTGGAGAAGCAGTATGCTTCCAGCACCTTCTGCAGGGAACCCTGCAGGCTTTTCCTTTCACCTGTGAGGCCAGGGGGAAAAGGTTCCTCATCTTTGCTATTCCCCACTGTGGAGATGGCAGCTGCATTTCCAGAATTCTGCAGGTTTGGTTACTTGAGTTCATGCTGTGRATACTGGCACTGTACAAAACCAGTAAGTGCACGTTAAGGCAGGGAAACACAAGTGCTGCTTCTGCTCCATTAAACTGGAGTTCAGTATTAAAGGTCCAAAAGCTACTTGGACTGACAAACTCCATATTTAAGTGTTTTTTTAATCRTAAACTAAGAGCAAAGATTTATAAGTTTGTGTCATGATCCATAAATCTAGATCTCGTCCTTTGCCTCTAGACAAATGACTTGTAGAGGAATTTGTAGTGGTTTGGATAAGTCTAGGATTCAGCAGTCAGCTCTCTTAAGTCAGATATGTATGAAACATCTGTGATTGTTTGAGGAATTTGGCAGACAATCTTGTACTTAAATCATATTTTCCCCTTTGAAAGTTGGAAATGTCCATGTATAAATTAGACACACAAGCCACATAACTCTGCACTTATGGAATTAGATGAGGTATCAGCCTGCTGTTACCTTGCAAATCCTRCTGCAAGGTAAGAGCAAGTTGATACCTTAACCCAGTAAAAGAGACCAGCCTAAAGGTCTTTAAAACTGTGTACCTTTTTTGTGCCCCAAAATCTAATAGCTTTAAGGGAAGTTGCTGTTAAATGGCAGGCTACTTTAATGTTGAGAATTTGCCACTTAGCCAAAAGACTAAGACTGAAATCAAAGGGTTCTTTGAGTAAAATTATACAAACCCTYCTTTCCAGGCAAAGTTGCTGAGTTACGTGCATAGTTGTCACATGCTGGGCCCCTGAGTACATTCACCATGCAGTTGTGCAGAGTCTGTCTAGAATCATCTCATCCTGTAATGAGATCATGTGAATTCAAAGCATATTAAACTTAATCCCAGTCTTCAGGATTATACCCTGTAAATTCAAAATTGCAGAGTATAAAAAAAATGCATAATGTTCCTGACTGCTTATTATAAAAAAKAAGGCCCAGCTCACTGTGAACCAGCTTTGGTTCTACCACTGAAAGCAGAATTTGGTAAAGGGACTTCAGTGGGAARTTCAAGCTGATGTCTGCTGACCTTTGTCAAGCAGAACAAATGGTTGCTGTGTTTGCTAGAATTGTATTAGTGCTGGATGCTTCTGGTACAGCCTGAGCAAATGAAGTTTAGAGTCTGGCTGTCTATYAGCAAACTTTGCCTTTTGATTGAGTCTCCAAATGCTGCAGCAYGGACCCTCCAGGCAGGAACTGAGGCTCTGCTTTATTTGATGCCAGGTCCTTTAATAGTTTCAGAAAGTGATTTTGCTTGTAATAGAAAAGCATGATGAAAACAGACATAATCCTAAATAATGTGTTAAAATCAATTCCTGTGTGTCATATTCCTGCATAGCGTGTCCTTTCATACACACAGGAATTGTCTAAACAACTCGAGGAAGAGGCTGTCACACACATACAGGCTGCACCTTGGTGTATTCCAGCTCTGGAATGACAAAGCAGAGCTATTAACYGTTGAAGCTTAGCCCAGCTCATAGTAGACACAGAGCCAAAACTAGGCAAGAAGACTCACCCCAAAAGAGAGGCCAAAATTTGCAACWAGTCATTATCTTTTGTATGAATAACCTCTAAGAGCTAAAGGCTATGTGATTCTGACTTGACCATTGAAATGTTGTAAATTTTACTGTGGAAGTGCCCTTGGTAGCTTTGAGCTTGAGGATGTACAAGATTTCTCAGTAGCATTCAGTGACCTGTCTTGTGTGGTGCTGAGTCTCTCCATGTTCAGATCCCTGCTTTATGCTAAGGACAAGCTTAGTTGGTTGCCAATAGTTCTTCTGAGGCAGAGATTTTTACTGTGCCTGATTGAGCAGCATCACACCAAAGGGAATGAAGGTGGAAAAATTGTCTTCCCCAAGGCCATTGCTGGAACAAAGAATACCCTCACTGGCTCCAGAATGTCACTGCTGTATCACTGTGGAAAACAGACCTGTTGTCTTCTTGCCACACTTTCTGCCACCTCTTTTACTCTTGCTTTCCTTTCTGTCTTCTGTACTTCTGCCTTGCTGCTCTCTCCACATCCAGTATCTCCCTCTGTTTTCACATACTGTTCCTTTACACACTTAATCCAAGGCAGCCAGTTCTAACTGGGGCTTTTGCCTTTACTCCCTGGGAAACATCTACATCCTTTCTGTTCCCTTCCTGAGGCTTTTTTTTAATACCAGCATTGGTGTGTCTCAGCCAGCTGCAAGCTGCCTTCTCCTCCAGCCAGGCACCAAGTTGATAGTAACAGCCTGGACTGGACTCAGCTGAGCATCTCCCTTTGGATATTCTCGGTGGCTGTTCCACGCTCCCCAAAGCGTGGCCCAGTTTCTCTCTCTGGTGAGCRGGTGGCAGGGAGGGTTGGCACAGAAATTGCAAAGCAACCTGGCATCTTCCACAACTGCATTTTTTTACCCCTTGAAGAATATAGCTTTCCTTTTCAGGAAGATGAACCTGTATTCTTGACATTGTAGGGGTAATGCAGTGTAGCATTTCTCTTGCCAGCCTACCCTCTGAACYGCTTCAGGAGGTTGTGGTGGGTTAAAGCTGATTGGCAGCTGTCAGTCACTGGCTGTACATTGTCAGTGTTTTTCTTAGGCAGGCTGAATTGCCTGATACAGCTCCCTGGAATGTAGCGGGAGGCAGTGCAGCATTTTAATTTAATTGCTTGTGGAGATAGCTGCAGGATTGTGGTGTCAGAAAATATTGCTAAATCTCCGGGGATTTCTTGGCATTTTGTTGCCACAATAAAGTCATAGTTGTCACAGTGGCTTAGTACAGCYACCAGTATATGTATACTTATTTATGCAGCCTGAAAATGTAGWGCAATAATAAAATACTTTATTTACATTTCTGTGGCTTGCATTCATTTGAGTCTTCCAATGCTACTTTTGTCATTTGCTCTATTGTCTAAATACATATTTCTTATATATGAAATTTATGAAGATGGTAAGAAGGGTTGTCAGTCAAGTCACATTTTGCAACCAGTCTTAAACATGATCCTACTTGTGGGTTTGTGTCTCTGCTGCTTTTATTACCTAAGCATTTCAGTTTTGGAAATCCATATTTATAAGGAATTTGTTCCACAGTAGAACATGGCATTGTTAATACTGAGATGACAAGTGGCCTGAAAATGAAGCATTGAGTAAAAATAAGCAGTTTCCACTTGAGTTTTTTCTGACCATTCTGAAACCCAGCCAGTCCATGTTGTGGGGTGTTTGCAAAGTAAGATTAATGCAGTGCAGASCTGATGCTGAGTTACAGGAAGGCATTGAGAACAAAAAATGAAGTTCATGTGTCTCCAACTCTCCCCTAGCCAGTCAWAAGTTTTCTTGCTTTGAGAATGTAGAGATATCTGCTTTTCTGTGTGTTGTAGTTGAAATCTCTGTGTTCAGGGTTATGTTCACGGTATGCAAAATATCAACCTGCAAGAGGGGTGGATTTTTTCAGTAGAAATTATCTTAGTTGAACAAGTGTGACAAATACTTGCTCTGTATGGTGTTTTTGAAGATCCTTTTCTCACACTGTGTTTGTGTCTGTCCCTCTCATCTCTGGTGAGATGTCTCAGTTAAAGCATTATGGTAAAGTCAGAAGAGCATCCACCCTGTGAGCAGCATGAGGAATTCTCCAATTACCTTCTTACCTGTGTCTGTGGGCCTAACCCATGAACATCCCTGCCAGGTTGCTCAGTCATTCTGGCCCACGCAGGACTGCTTACATAAGTAAAAAATGCAAKGTGATCTTTAATTAACAAAGTCATAGGCACACTGGTCACGGTAGAGTGTTACTGGAGGAGCTTTCCTCACACTTAYCTGTGCTTTTACTAC